AAGACATAAATGCGGTGATAATGGCAAGGCTACTCCCACCCATGCCTCCACATATTTCAGCACCTTGTGCCATAGGGCTCAACCATGGGGCATTCCCAGATGAGATGCAAAAGGTTCCCATTTCTCTATTACATTTCCAACATAAACTACTAGTTGTGAGCCCGACTTTAAAGAGCCTACAAGGTGTCCAATAATACCGGTGCAGAATCTTATATTGGATAAATTTCCCTCTAGCATCTTTGACATATTTACCACTTTGGGCTATGATTTGACTCCATCTATCCTCACTAATTTCACATTTAAGGTCTTTCTGCCAGATTATTCTTAAATTGTTACAGCTGCTACTAATCAAATAAGCCGAGTCTTTATAAAATGTTGACACCCTATGGTTAGACGGGTTATTTAGATAATAATTGGGTTGGATAGTCTCTTTGACTGAAAATTTTTAATTATGCAATATCTGATTTGTAAATATTTCCAAAAATCACCTTTTTCCTGCAACTGAAACTGTCGAGCGAGTTCGGTAAATGACATAAATGTTCAGTCTTTACAGAGATCTTCTACGGTACGTATGCCTTTGTCCAACCACCTCCTCCAAAAAACCTTTTGCTTCCCGATCTTCACCTCTGGATTGAGCCAGAGTGAAGCATATAGTTGTTTGTAGTGAGAAATCTTGTGCAATTTGTGAACCTTTGCCTAAACCTCTTGAGAATGTTTAATAACTGGGTTTACATCATTCCCTTTATTTTTAAAACACTGAGATAGGGTATGTATTGGCCAAAATGGTGCTGCCAGGTTTGTCTCTATGTTAGCCCACACTGATCCAGACCCCACTCGCTTCCAGTGATTGAATATCTTAGCCATCTCAAATGATAAGCTATACAGCCTAACATCTGGAAGACCCAGCCCTCCCTTCTCTCTGGGTGCACACATTTTACTCCATTTAAATCTGGGCTTCCTTCCTGCCCATAGAAAGTCTCTGATCACAGATTCATATTGTTTAAAAATGTGATCAGGCTTATTAAGTGGCAACATCATAGATATATAGTTAAATTGTGGCGTTATTACCATTTTAACAACATTTAGCTTCCCCCAGAGACTCAAATTCAACTTCCCCCATTTTACCGGGTTTGTTTTAATGCTTTGGAGGAGAAGCTCAAAGTTCAGTGCCGTCATCTCGCCTAAGTCAGGAGTCAGTTTGATACCCAGATAAATCATGCCTTCAGGAATCCATCGAAAATTATGCTGCGTTAACATTTGTGAGTGACAATGTTTAGATATGGGCATCACCGCTGATTTGGTCCAGTTAATTTCGTAACCAGATAATTTAGAATATATATCTATTGTATTCATTAGTGCAGGTAAGGAACTGCGAGGATCACTAGTTAGAAAGAGAATATCATCCGCGTATAACATTAGTTTGTGTTCCTGCCCTCCACCATCTACTCCCTTAATGGCTGGATTTGCTCCTATAGCCACTGCAAGGGGCTCCAGCGCAATTGTAAACAAGAGGGGCGACAGGGGGCATCCCTGTCGTGTTCCCCTAGAAAGATCAAAAAGGGATGAGATAAGACCATTTGTTAAAACTGATGCCTTAGGTTTACTGTATATTATTTTAATCCATTTTTCAAAACCAGGTCCAAAGCCAAACCTCAACAGGGCCGAGTGTAAGAAGCCCCACTCAACCCTATCAAAGGCCTTTTCAGCGTCAAGCGAGATAGCGGCCGCCGGCATTGTGCTAGAACCATTCAACCACATTAAGTGCATAAGCCTTCTCAAATTATCAGTGGAAGACCTACCCTTTATGAAGCCTACTTGATCTATATAAATATTGTGCGGTAAAGCAATTTCAAGTCTTAGGGCCAGTACCTTAGCCAGTATCTTGGCTACGTTAATGAGGCTAATCGGTCTAAAGTTTGCAGGATCTGTATGATCTCTCCCCTTTTTAGGTATCAAAGAGATTAGTGCTTCATTAAAAAAAGGTGGAAGTGAGCCAGTTCGAAATGCTTCCTCAAACACAGCTGTCAATACCGGAGTGATTATATCAATAAATTCTTTGTAGTACTCCACAGGAGGCCCATCAGCTCCTGGCGATTTTCCTGTATTCATTGATAAAATGGCAGTTTTAACCTCTTCTTGGGTTATTGATGCATCAAGAAGAGCCACCTGATCGGAAGATAAAGTAGGAAGATTTATGCTTGAGAAAAAATCTCTGGCTGATGACTCATCCATAGCCCCAGAAGATCTATACAGGTTCTCGTAGAACTCCCTAAAGACATCATTAATACCTTTAGAGGATGTTATGAGAGACCCACCTGCTCTTATAGCTGGAATTATATGGGCAGAGTTCTGTTCCATCAATTGTCTGGCCAGAAGTCTGCCAGTCTTTTCCCCTGACTCATAGAATCTTGTTTTAAGTCTGAACATAGCATACTCTGCTTTTTTATTGAAATGTCATGAATTTGAAATTTACATTTACAAATGCTATGGAATGAACTATCAGAATAATGTCTGGCCAAATTTTTTCCATACTATTTGTTTTGCTTCCAATTTCATTTTGCTCTTTCTTCCGTTTTGAAGACTTAGCAATCATTTTACCTCTAATGTACGCTTTAGACGCCTCCCAAACCATAGCTATGCTATCCATACTGCCCATATTAATTTAAAAAAATGAGACAGGTCCTCTGCAAATTCTTTAGAGAACACCTCACTCTGTAATAGGGTTGTGTTCATTCTCCACCTGCCTCGCCTGGGCCTGTCCAAACGTATATTTATAGAGAGCTCAACAGGTGCATGGTCTGACAAGGAATAGCATTGATAGTACTATCAATGATAGCATTAATTAGACTCTGCAAGATCAAGAAAAAGTCAATTCTTGAATAAGATTTGTGGCAGTGGGAGAAAAAAGTGTATCCTTGATTCCTAGGATTGACCAAGCGCCAAATATCAATCAAACCAATGTCCTCCATCAGTGTGTGAATGGCAGCTCTATCCTGTGGTGTTGAGATGTTTAGGTGTTTACTTTTATCCAATATCCCATCTAAGACTTGATTAAAATCACCTGCTAAAATTATTTGGCCTTGGGCATTACCTAATATGCTATTCAATCCATGAAAGAAAGATGGGTCCCCCTTGTTAGGGGCGTATATGTTACATAATGTTATTTCTGCCCCATTTATGTTGGCCTCTATACAGATAATCCTATCATTGTCATCCTTGTACTCTTTCAACATAGAAAAGTTCAATCTCTTATGAACCAGAATAAGAATTCCATTACGTTTACTGGAGAAAGAACTATAATAAACATGACCAACCCAGTCTCTCTTAAATTTTTTGACTTCATCATCCTGTAGATGGGTTTCTTGGATGAATGCTATATCAGCTTGTCTGTGTTTAAGATGTAGAACCTTTTTTCCTCTTTACTGGATTCCCACAACCGTCAATATTCCAGGAAACTACCTTAACAAAGGCACTATTAGCCATTTGCATAAGAAAATGAAATAGAAAGAAAATATTGGCATTGTAACAAGACGACTGCTTTCTGCTATCCACCATTAATTCACCCCTCAAAGGAATGCAGGCCCCCCCTGGTTTGGAGAGGAAATGGGGGTTCACACCAATTTCCAGTTTACGACCCAGGAAGTTCCATTTGGGAGGTGATAATGAATCATTAACGCTTCCCAAAAAGACAAGTTGCTTATCAACCACACAGACCAATAAACATGGAGCCTCTCACCCTGGCTGGGAAAGATCAGAGTTGACACCTCAGATTAAACAAGATGACCCAAAAGGAAACAAGGCTGCATTTGGCGCCAAGTCCTGGAAACAGATCCCTGCCATAAATCCTTTGAATGACTGTGTTTTTCTATGGCTTTTAAGGTGCAGGAGGAAGAGGATGCCTGAAAATGGTTTAACTTCATGCTTAATGGACACTTCACCAGAATTTTCTATCTGTACACCACCTCATTAATGAAAATGGTCTTTTTCCCAGTTTTGTAGCATATCTACAAGCCAAACTGTTAACTTCACAAATTTATTCCAGGTTTTCCATGGATCAAGAGCTCCTCCTAGTGGTGATGCCTGAATATGGTTTGATCAGAGCCAAATGGAAGGGAATCTAATCATGTGCATTTCTTCCCTTTTGTTGTATACACTTTGTAGCTTAGTAAATGGTATTCCCAAGATAGGCTAGTAGTTTTAGAAGTAGTAACAGGACACTCGTTTAGACTCAAGTTAAGAGTTTCTGAATGTATCCATACTATGTTCTTGTCTACCTCACCCAAATATATATGTTAATCATCTATGAAGCTTGATTGACAAGGTTATATTGTTGTCAAGTATTATCACGTATGTGTTTCTTATGCTGGATGGTGTTTCTGTTCGGATAGATAATTTGTTTTCTGTCCCTCCCTAACTTTCAAAAGTCGTTAATCCTCTGTTATTATCAAGAAAACGGCTGATCAAAAGTTTATTGTTTTCAATGTCATGCTTTAATGCATGTGCTCATAAGAAACAATGAAGTGAAATGTGATCGTATGTGATGTTACAAACAGTTTAATCATAGTGAGTGAGTAAATTAGATCTAGCTCGCTTTTAATATCAAGTTGAGTTAATTCGCTGCCAGTCGATGTGCTGCATTGGTTTACAACATTGGTTGGGCCCCCTTCCTCTTGGTTCACGCCCACGTTGAACTGCTTAAAAGAGTTGAGCCCGGGAGTCTTTGAGTCTTGTTCGTAGTTTTTCTTTTGTCCTCGTCCATCGTTTGCAATTTTCTCCGCGTTTTATTAATTGCCTTAAGCTCAGACCTTTCCAGAAACTTGGATGAAACCATACCCAAGTTCCTTTAAAGCATCAGTAACAAGCTGCGCACATAGAGAACCTCCGTCTAAGTCTTTTATTTTATTTTTGTTCGCTAAAGTGACTCCTGAAGATAATATCGGCTGGCCAGCGAAATTATTTTCTTAAGTTATTGGCGCAAATTAATCTGCAACCAAGCTAGTCCTGAACGCCGACCAGCATCCTCTGCCGAGCTGCTTTGCCACCTGGTTCCGAGAGGCCCAGAGATCTGAAGTATCTAACGGCGCTGACACGGTCCTGAAGCTGAGATCCAGACACGGCGGAAGAACTCCCCGCCGAACCTTCAGTATCCGGTCCGGTAGCCCAGAACTTCAGCTGATCCATTCCAAGAGTGCCGCTGAGAATCGACATCCAAAGTAGGCAAACTCCTCGAAACTGCTGTGATGAGAACTGGGTGATGCCATCAACCGTTCAGTAGCTTACTCTCATAAGTTATAGTTTAGTCCTCTCAATTCCTTTTAAATTTACCCTCGTAACTCCGTTAACGTAGGTTAAATTTTCCCTTATTCACTCACTATCATTAACCTCCAGTCTTAGGTTTAATTTAAACCAGTCCTTCCTTTATTCATTAGATGTGCTTTGATTTTCTCATTATTTGATCATCATTTATTGACGTTTTGTTATCATATAGCTTGTTAATAAATTGTCCATTTAATTTTAAATTGTCGTCTCTTAGTAGTCTTTCCAGAAAGTAGTCCCTGAATGAAGAATTCCGGCCTCAGATGAGAGACTGATTTAAATCTGTTTAAGACTGATTCAACGTTTAATTACTCAATTGAACTTTGCTTTGTCCTTTTCCCACCAGAAAGGTGGGTGGTGCCCCTTCAACGAGTGCATAAATGTCATAATTTAATTTGATTAATTTTCGACATTTATTTTGAAATTCAAATCGCTACAGCATACATGTCTCCCTTGTCATCTGACCATCCTAATTGAAAGACTTAAATTGTAACCTTTGTACCACCGAGCATAGATAGAAAACATCTTATTTTATTTTTAACATAAATTAACACGACCAAACTGGTCAACCAATACTTCCCCCTCGCATCAGAGAGGAGAAAAAAACTGTCCAGCAACCAGCTGGACATTTCTCTCTCAACTTAGGTCGTGGTGTGTCCGAGATGCCCACTGGGTCATCACCTGACTGCTACTTAAAGCTATCTAGCCCCATTACACCTCACTCAGTCTCCTTACCGGTGGATATGTCACAGTTTATTCTCCATCAGTGATTTGTTGCTTGATGAACTTAACAGCTTCTGTTGCAGTGTCGAATTTCTTGTTCTTCCCCTTCCACGTGAACTGGAGCGATGCAGGAAAAGCTAGTTGAAACCTCACACTGTTGTTGCGCAGTAGCTGCTTCGCCCTGGTTTTCCTCCTCTCTGCCAGCTCCTTCATCATATCTGAAAACAGGGAGACGTTGCATCCATTCCACACCGCACCTCCTTTCTCCCTTGCAGCTCTTAGGACTTTATCCCTCACGGATGAGCGCAGGAATCTCATCATCACCAGCCTCGGAGGCTGGCCGTTCGCGACCCGGGAGAGCGGTGCACTCTCTCCATTTCGAATTCGTTGTCAATCTCCATGTTCAGGCCCTCCGACAAAACTTTTTCAACGCATGCTCTCAGGTTATTGCCTTCAATGTCCTCCTTTAAGCCCAACCTTTCTCTATTTATACAGTATCCCACAGTTGATTTTTGTCGTGATTTATGGAAATCTATGACGCCAAATTTTTATGTATTTGCATTTAGATTATGACGTATGAGGATTTTAAACCTTTAATTCTTAAAGCATCTCAAAAAATACCACTGTCGGTTTGTGTTTCTCCTGTAACTGGTTCTAAGATAGATTACATCCTCGGGTCAATCCGAGGATTTCCACGCAGATTGTATATAATGGCATCTAACCCTTTCCCAGCACTAGACAATGTGGTTTGGATGTGTGGGGAACACACACGTATATACCCCCTTATTGGCAAGGGGTTTGTGCCCTGTATTGGATAGCTAAAACTAAAAAAAATGATAAAAATGGAGAACAAACCTCTGTCTATGGTGCTAACGATTCACAGGTAATTACATGGCCCTCACAAATGGAAACAGATGCCAACCAACTATCAAATATTGAAGACAATAATCAGGATCTTAAATATAAGAAATTAGCGCTACATCTGGATGACAAGAATCTTATTGAATCAAACTTATGGTACCAATCACTTAAGAAGCGGGTTAGAACTTTCACAAGAAACTCCTGTTATGCTTGTTCACTGCTACCTGTATCTACTCAAGATGTCTTCGTACTGGTAGCCAAATCACTCACAGGTCTCAAAGGACTTCCGTCGTGGTGTACCCTGGCATATCAGTATGTCATACAAATGCATCCCAAAACCAGAATACAACATTAAATCTTCTGAGTTTAGATCTGTTATTAAACCTACTAAAATGCATTTAGGTAAAACAACACATTCAGTGCAGAAAATCAATAACTTTCTTCACAAGGTCGGAAAATATGTTATATACTCCAATATTTCTATCAGTCAAGAAAATTGAAAAGATATTTTCCATGTACATGCAACATTGTTTAATGTACCTGAAAATCATCCATCCTTGCTAATGTGTCCAGGTTTTTACAATAAATATCTTTTAAACATAACCTCGGACTTGTCCATTACCCCTCATCAATCCTCCACAGCGGTGAATTCATGCGACATCTTTGATGTTTGTCTAGAGGGTCGATCCCTAACCGATGGTGGTCAGAATATGGGTTCTTTGAAAGTTAGCCAGTGTCTTTCTATTTTTGACTCACATAGTGATTACGCCCAATTAGCTCTGATGGGCACTCCATATACATATGGCTTTTATTGGTGTTGTTGTAATAATGTTTGGAGTAGTCTCCCTCCCTGCTTCTGGGGTAGGTGTGGTCTATGCATGCTACATGACGTAACCTACATTGTGGAGTCCGTTGAATACGCACCACAACACTTCAACTAGGAGAGAGTTGTCTGAAGTTACTGGCTATATCCATTTGAAGAACTCGGACCCTACTGACTTGGCCAAACATTATTATGCATTGCGGGATGATTTTCAGATATATACACATTCACAATTGGTTTTTAGTTCCTTATTTTGGAACACTGAATTGCAATATACAAATCACTATCTCATAGCGCTTACTAGGCATGACTTGACATTAATGGCGAATGCCACATTAAAGGGTTTTCATTCCATATATGCCGAGTTAGACTTGATCAGTCGTTTTGCTATGGACAATTGCGTTGCTTTGGATGCATTGACGGCATCTCAGGGGTGTGTGTGTGCCATTGTTGGAGAAGGCTGTTGTACGTATTTACCATCTGATTCTGAAGGAATGGGCAATTTGACGATAGCCATTAAGAATCTGAAAGATATCCATATGGGAATTGTCACCTCCAATAAGGATGCACGCATCACAGGGGGTCTACTGGGATTAAGGTATGGGATCATAGCTCCACCTTATTTGGAGGTAACTTCCTTTATGCCTGGATTATAGGCCTTGCAGGTCCAGTTCTAATCATTATCGTGATTGTGGCTATTGTGATGTATTGTTGCTTTCCCATTTTCCGTGCTCTAATCATGAAATCTGTTTCTTCTATGGTCAGTACGTCTTTTGTGCAGACTACAGTCCTGATGGAGAAGGACTTTATCCCTTCCCCCTCCATACATGGACCTTGGCTCTCCTCCTCCTTGTCATCTGAGTCATCAGAAGAATTCGAGGATAGGGAGGCATGAAACCAGTTAATTTCATATTGACCCATTGAGTGTCACGGCTCCATAGGGTATAGGGTTAGTCCAGTTTATCTTCAGGTGGGTTGACAGTTCTGTTTTCGTGGCTTTTGTTCATGGTTTTGTAGGGTTTAGATGGTTTAGTCGTTAGTCTAGGGTAGAGGGCAGCCTCAAATCCTAAGGCCCTTTGTGGGCTGGTTTGGTGTGGCCGACCCTTCTTATGTTTATTTAACCCACCCAGTTTTATGTATCATCTGTTCCAGTGGTAATTATTTCTGGACTATTGGTGTGAGTGAAAATAAAAAATAAACAAATAAAATAATAATAATAATAATAATTAAAAAAGTGAGGACTGTTAGGATTAGTTTCTTTAGCCAGTCATATTAGCCTTTAGAGTGTTGGAGCTGTGTTACTCAAATACCTCAGATACTTTGGTGTTAGATTGCTGGAGCCGGGGGCCTCAGATAACCATCCCTGACCGAAGAACCCTGTACACATTATTTACATCATGTAGGTCCTCAAAATATGTTTTGCAATGGTATTTCCTTCTTTGGACCCTCCACATGTTCACCTAAGGCTTTTAAAAATATTTTGTCCTTTGTTTTTACCGTACATGGATTTCTCCTAGGGTCAACTAAATATCAACAGTATGCTTAGAGTTGTGGACCGCTATATATACTTGAACGGTCTTAGACCACTCTTTGTTACACTTGTGGCATGATGAAGCTGTAACCCAGATCTGCAACCAGTAAAGCTTCTCAAACTGACCATTCGTGTGGACCTTCCATTCTTTCAAGTGTGAACCTGGGCTAGGCATCCTTACAATACAGTAACACCTACTGACAGCATATCAAACCTAAGCAGCAAGTTGAGTGGTTCAAGATCTCGGGTTTCATCTACTACATCTCCACGTCTCAAAGCTGAGGCCAAAATGGCTGCCTTACTGGCTCGACAAAAGTTGCTTAAAGAAAAGCATTCTCTTGAAGAACAGGAAGAGCAATTAAGAAAATGAAAGAAACAGCTTCAGCTGGAGGCTGAAATAGCCGCATCCATGGCAAAAGTTTAAAAGTCTTCTGGCTCAAGCTTACATAGTCGTTCTTCAAGGAAAAAGGATGGAATGGAGTCATATTTCAAAAAGCCCCTTGATGTTTATGCAGAGACTTTTGTGCCACATAAAGATGGACAGGATGGAAGAATGCTGCCTGTAATTCGAAGTTTAAATTCACACCTTGGAGGTGCAAGGCCAAGTTCACCTGACAAAGACAGAATCAAGTATCTCCACCAGGGGTCCATAGTGCTCCCAAAATCAGAGACCACAGCTCCTACTGCTGCAGCTCCCTCTGTGTCTCAACATAAAGATGCACACAACTGCTTTTCCAGCAACAGCAGCAGTGAACACAATATTATGTCCATACTGCAAAAACAAAATGATATCACATCCATGTTGGTACATCAACAAACTCTTGCCTCACTGCCGAAGAGAACTATCCAAGTCTTTGATGGCAGTCCCCTGCAATATCATACCTTTATGCAGACATTCGAACACACCATAGAGGCCAAGATGAATAATCCTGTGGACTGCCTGCATTACTTGGAGCAATACCCCAGTGGACAACCTCAAGAACTAG